AAATACATTTCATTTTCAAAATTGAGTTATCAGGCCTTAATATATATTTTGGGGGGATACCCTGTATTTTCTCATATTGTTTTCGCTCTATTCTTATGTATTATTAAGCTTTTATTAGGTACATGTTGTTTAATTCAGGAATTGCTTTTCTTCCTTTTTATCTAAGGTTTAATTTTAAATCACGAATGAATACAGATATTATTAAATGCTTTCCTAAACATCTTAAAATATAGTTTTTTTCTTTAATCTCTTAATTTGAGTAATGTAAGCATAAATATTTCTGTTATTCAACTATAACTAAATTCCAGAGCAAATACTGGCTAAAAATTATTAGTATTACAAAAATGTGGCTGGATTTGTTTTGCTAACACCTTATTTAGAGTGTTTACATCAATGTTCCTAAGAATCAACCTATGTTTTTCTAACTTTGCCCCCACTTCTCTACTTTGTATCAGTTTGTACTTGCCCCATAAAAGAATTTAAAGAGATTACTTCTCTTTTTATTATATGGAAGTATTTATATAAAGTTAAGCTCAGCACTTTCTTAGAGGTTTTGTAAGATATTTATCTATGTATGTATGTATGTATTTATTATTTATGTCTGTTAGCTTCTTTGCAAGTAGATCTAACAAAATGTAATCTGTTTAATGTTTATTGATACATTTGGCTTTTTATTTCTTCATGGATTAATTTTGTTAATTTATCTTTTCTAGAATTTCATCTATATAATGTATGGCAGACAATTTTATAATTTTACTGTATTTATGTTTATTTGTACTTATGGTTCATTTTTATCTCCTATATTGTGTTTCTTCTAATTCTTATTTTTCATACTCACTCTTACTGAATGTCTGCTATTAGTATTTTGTAAAGACCAGCTTTTGCTTTTCTTGATCTGCTCAATTATTTTGTTTCATGACATCTCATTGATTTTTGTGTTTTAATATCTATTTTCATTTTCCTATTTCCTTATTGGTTTAGTATTTTCTGAATTCTCAAGATTAATGCTTAGTTCATTTTTTTCTTTCTTGTTTTTATATGTTTACGTTTGTATGTAACTAGTATATGCATATGAAATATTAATATATATGTGCATGTGTGTGTGTTGTTTCCAACTGTGTGGAGATGTGTGAAAATCTTTATGTTATTGGATTTTTAATATTATCACACAGTAGAAGAATGAATTATTTATAGTATGTGCTTTTGGATCTTTGTGATGTGTCTCATGTTTCTACACAGACATCTAAGTCCAGAAATATAAACATTATGAATCTTTGTAGTGTAAGTTAAACATTACAATTCAAAATTCAGTTAAACCTTACAATTCAGAACTCTTATAGCTTCTGTTTTTCATGGCTTTGCAGAGACAACACAGAACAGTGGTCAATAACTCGGATTATAGAGAAATTCAAATTGAGTTCAAATCATGGTATATCCACCTACTAACTGACATTTGGAAAGCCATTTAAACTCTATATACTTTTGCTTTATTATAGGTAGAACAGAGATATTGATAGTAATTACTTTGTAGGGTTGCTGTGATTGTTCAATTGATTTCTTATATATAAAATTCTGTTTTTCATGGCTTTGCAGAGACAACACAGAACAGTGGTCAATAACTCGGATTATAGAGAAATTCAAATTGAGTTCAAATCATGGTATATCCACCTACTAACTGACATTTGGAAAGCCATTTAAACTCTATATACTTTTGCTTTATTATAGGTAGAACAGAGATATTGATAGTAATTACTTTGTAGGGTTGCTGTGATTGTTCAATTGATTTCTTATATATAAAATTCTTTA